TTTCTTAACAAAATGCCATTATTCTTTTGTTTCTGTAAAGAAAACCACGAAAGATCGCTTAATATACAATTATAAAATACCATTGACTACACAATACCTTTCATAAAGGCCTTATCCTAAATGTTGTTTACACATGTTTATATACTGTTGACTTCCCCTTCATACAAATGTTAGACCTCTTCATTTCATGTACACGGATTATCACCTCCCTGCTGTTCACATTAATAAACCATCCCAAAAGGAACTGTACAGTCACAAAAGTTAATCATCAGTTTTACATTAACATCAAATTATAATTGTTACCATGTCTATGTAACTACATGTATACATACGTCTCTTACACAATTTACACATATGAAAGAGCTTCCAGTACAGAATAAATGTTAAATAAAGAAAAGTCAAATCAAATGAAACAAAATAAACAGAAGTGAAAGGATACTGATGATAAATACTTGGAGGTATTGGCAAAAACAGTCTTTTAGCTACCTGCAATTTTGGTCTTATTTCCAGGGGGTGCATTGCAAACACCAATATGAAATGGACTATGTTTTCAGGCACAAGACTATGGTCAATTTCAGTTCGGTGCCTATAGAGTATAGACTTGCATGCAAACTGACCAAAAAGGCAGCCGCTAATGTCTGCAAGGTCCCTCAAAATGCTTAAAAAAACGCTGGGCCTTACTTAAACAAATATGGCTGTTGTTATATACATACATACATACACACAGTCGTGTTTACGTTATATACCTAGTTTCAGCCATGCAACTGCGAATTTAGAAAAAACAAGGAAATTCCAAACCACACAAGAGATTGTACAGTGTTTTTAAATTTGTAATGGCATTCATGAGAAGTCAAAAAGGAGGAAATCAGCGGATCCGAGAAAAAGTTGCATGCCTGCTAGTTTGGACATTCCTTTGTTTTCATTTAGGGAAAAAAAAAGCTGTGGAAAAAAAATCATTTTACTCACACTGTGAAAACTCTTTCAACCCCATTTTTTTTTTACTATGATTCCCCCGAGTCTTTCTCTTAATTTTGCGACATTTTGAGTAAGTGTGTATTTGCCTGCAATCCGGGACCCCCTATTGTCCATTTTTTGTTTGTACTCAAAAACTTTTTATGAAGACATCCCATATGTTTTGTACATGATCGCCAAATTGGGGACCTTCCGGAATTTAACTTTTTTAGGAAGACCTCCCATATGATTTGTACACGATTGCCAAATTGGGGACCTTCGGGAATTGGGGAACCTATTGTCCTCTATTGTTCAATGTCCCCTATTGTTCAATGTCCCCTATTGAATGCAGAAACAAACTCACACACACAGATCTACATGTACAGACATGCATCATTATAATCTTACTTGTTGAGTTTTTTCAATGACATAAATTATGCTGATCACTTCAAATTAAAAAAAGGGAAACAGTCAAAAAAGCTTTGGCCAAACAAAAACATGTATGTAAAATTCTTGGTGACCTTAAAATTGATCGATTGTCTTTTTTTTTTGGGGGGGGGGTATTTAAAACTGTGTGTTAACTTTTATATTTCATTTGCAATTTACAAACAAGAAACTTGTACTAAAATTTGCCAATTATAGGGGTACATTATATTTTGTAAACATGGCAGTAAATTTTTTCGCTTTTTCTTTAACAAAGTGTCAAATTACTGACTGACTTTAAGCCATTGGTAATATTTTTGGTGTCAATTGTTGCTTTCAATATTGAATGGCCATTCAGTGATGACTGATCATGCCTCAATGGGACATTTTGTTACTTAGTAAATTTCATGTCTCTTAAATTCTTCAATGTCAATACAAAACAATGTATATAACCCTATGTTCTCTTTATTTTAAAGGTATAGTCCATCATTTGTAATTTGTGCATTTTATTTGTTTGAAGCAACAAAAAGTACTCAAGATCTAAAGAAGTGTGCTGAAAAACTAACCTGATGAAGTTTCAGCTCAGCTTCAGCTGTATATTTCGAGAAAAACAACATTCTAGGATCTCGATTTCAAATCATAAGTTGCTGAATCATGTTTTGAATTGGGCCTGAATTCAGCGTCCGAGACACATTCTCACTGAGCCGATTGCAGCTACACGATGTCGCGCACTGATCCAACGAATTATAGCAACGGCGCGTGCGTGTGCGTCGTGTCAATGCTTGCGTGCGCTTTACCGAATAACAAAACAAACTACTCATTTGAATTCCTACGGTGCTTCTTAAGAAGCACCGTTGGAAAGGCCGTCTTTTGTTGATTTCTTCACAATTCTTGCCAGAAAGAATAATTTTACAGGGAGTTTAGTCCCCTTACTATCTTTCAACCAAGTATGTTTTTTTAACAATAATTACGCCAGTTACTTTTTGGATAGCTGCAAATGATGGACTCTGGCTTTAACCTATGAGTCAACAAGGATCATTCATGCAACAGGTTAGGTAAAAACACCCTTAAACAATTATCCCACCCATTCAAAGCGGTGGGGTTACTGATTAGTTTGCCTTACATTAAAATCTCATTTAAGAAATTGGTGCACATGTATTTACACCATTTCTAAAAGGAAAAGTCTTGCATCATCATTGATCTTTTGGTTGTTCATCACTGAAATGTTCTGTATATGTGGTTCTGGATTTCAATTAATTCATGCAAATTAACGATTTCATGACAAAAACAAAAACAATTGCTTACTTCTATTGTTCTGAAATGCTCAGACTGAGATCAAAAATGTGCAATCCACACACCTCATACTATATTACAGCAGATCATCCATATATTGTTAATTTGAAAGTAGTTAATTACATCAACATGATCTTTATTTAAACTTCCAATTGAATAATATCCTGTGTATTGTTTTTTAATTTTATACAGCTTCAATAGTTACCTCTGTCATCAAAAATATGTTTTATAAACTGCTTCAAAAATTTATCGGCACATACTTTACAAACGTATTTTCCATCACAGCTTAAGTGCTATTAAATATTAAGTAGATGCCAGCGTTGTAGTCGAGTCACCAACGTGTTCTTAGTTGTTCACCAAACTAATCACTTTTTAAAAAAATTATTTTTCAATCATCCATTCTGTCTTTTAAGTAGATCTCAATTGTATACAGGGTGTTTCAATAAAAAGGAAACCCAACTTTGGAGAACCAATATGGACAGACTAAATGTTTACTGGCTATAAAACTGGTATCATCTGAAAGCGTAATCCCTATGCTTTTCAATGATACCTTGTTTACATTTCCAGGGTCATGCATTACTGAGCGCCATTGTCATGAGGTTTTGATGCAAAATTGCAGTTGGTTCACTTTCACGTCAAACACAATAGGCATGGTGTGCATGAGAATAAGTATTCAAGAAGACTTGAGTGCATAAAAAGAAACCAAAAAAACAAAAACAAGTCGAGTTGGTTTCAAAACTGGATTTTATTGTTTGTCATGAATTTCTCGTTTTGACCAAGCCACGTTCAAAGTAATGTGTTATTTTTCCCGAGGATTAACATTCAAGCCATTTCAGCCAGACATCTCCGTAGCAATAGGCACACCATGCCCAGTGTTTTTTTTTATTCAAATGAACCAACTGCATTTTTGCATCTAATGTTCAAGACAATGATGCTCTGTGATGCATTACTCAGAAAACCTACACGCGGTATCATTAAAAAGCATAGAGATCACGCTTTCAGATGATACCAGTTTTATAGCCAGTAAACATATGGTCTGTCCATAATAATTCTTTGAAGTTTGGTTTCCTTCTTTTTTTTTAAACACCCTGTATAGTTTACCTGTGTGTGTACATTTTGTTTAGACCCAAAATGTGTTTTCCTTTTAATTCCCAATGTACAGTGCCAAGAATGATCTAACACCAAAAACCCTACATGCCCTTACTTCAGTCTTCCCCATACTGCATGAAAATGTCCTGATTACAAAGTCTGAAATTGAAAGGTTATGCCAATATTCTGAGCACCTTGTTATAGTTTTGACTGATTTTGGTGGGGGCATTGAATTAAAATCCTAAAATTTTGAAATTTGTTTTGGTGACTCTTATTTTTTAGTTTCCCATGGTTTCCCAAAATAACGCGATATGTACATGTACTAGGCCTATCCGGTGTAATGCAAAGTAGTGTCCGCCTACTATTAGCATTGCTGAGAATATTGCACTATTGACTATAGCGTGCATCCGGTGTGCGCTTTTTGGCATGACACCAGGCCCTGGTGCTCATCATGCAGGCGCTAGGCGTGCATGCACAGCCCTTGGATACGAGTTTCCATGGCGCCGTGTTTTGTCTATGGAGTAAAAAAGAATGCTACGTTCGTCGCATAAATACGTGACATTATGTTTTTTCTTTTGATGAAAATATGTGACTTGAGTCACGAGTCACCAAACTCGAGTCAAGTCCGAGTCACGAAAAATGTGACTGAGTCCAACTCAAGTCCGAGTCCTGGACTCGAGTCCTACAACACTGGTAGGTGCTAACAAGAACCTGTGTTTGTATGTCTGGACTGCATATCCACAGTCAATTCTCCAAACAAAAAGACTTCATATAGATTGTTCCACACAACTCATCAAATTCCTGTATAATGTTTTTCTGCCTAGCAGGTCCATGACATTTGGCCTAGCCTGAAACACACGGTTCAAAGGTACTAACAATGCCACCCCTTCCAAATTTAAGGACTTTACTTTAATAAGACACTGTCCCATTAATTACACTTGTGAAGGTATTTCAGATTAGAGTGTTTAGTGTGAATCTTCCAAGCATAAGCTTTTGAAGTCCCTCCTAGGTGAGGCCAATTTGTAAGATTGAATAGGATTGAACATGCAAAGATTTACTCAATGAACACAGTTGCTAAGTTTGCTTAGGTTGAGAATTTTGAACAAGCGGACACCTTTACCGTGGATAACCAAGACATTTTAAATGAAGAACAATATGGATTTCCCTAAAATGTTGATCTCCTTAAAGAAAATACAAAAACATACAACACTTCTTATACATGAAAACATGGGATACACCTTAAGTCAATTAAAGCAATGTACATTTCTAGACCCTTTCCAGAATGGATTATTTTATTTTAAATTGGAGGGGGGAGGGAACAATGGGTAGGCTAATTGGTTAAGCAAACTGGCTTGCCATACAATTCTTAGTTCAATATTGTAATGGAGGATCAAACATACAACTCAACTATTTTGTTGGAAAGGACCAAGCCTTATGATTCACCTCACTCCATGTTGAGGTAAACTCTGCAACTTAACCAACAAAACAATACTCGTAGGCATAGGCATAAGATTTAAAAAAAAAAAAAAATCTGCAGTGGTTTATGACAGTGAATAAGCAAGACCAAATATCCCAATAAACAACAATGCACACCTCCCTGTCTTCATTAGTAGACGGTCATATATATGCCTGCATACCTGAGTAAGTGCTACTTCATTTAGTATGGTGCACAATAAGCAATTCCTTTCTGTGAAGCTTAAAATTACCTAACTGAATTTCAAATTTCACTCTTTTAATTGTTTCAGTTAAAAAGAACTAATATACACTTCATTTATTTTTTTCAGATGTTCATTTGCAAAGAAAAAAAAAATTCATTTCAGCTACATGTTTAACAACCTTCAACTTCAATATGTAGAGCCCCCTTGCGGTTGGTCCAAACATATATCTGCAATGATTACAAAAAAATGCTAACTAAAAAAAACATGAATTCCTCTCTCTGTAACAGGAAATGGTTCAACTTTTCAAATGCACAATTGTTCACCCACTATAAGAATTGTCCTGACTGAAGGAAAGTGGGGTTCTGAAAGTCATCTTCTGACTCTTTGCCCCATCCTTTCACCTGAACAAAAAGCTGGGCTTATCTCAATTTGAGTATCAACAGAATTTCACATACCTATTTTTTTTGGGGGGGGGGTGGGGGTGGGGGTGGGGTCTTAAACTGAAGGCCATATTAACAATTTGACCTTTTTTCTGCTGGATGTGGCAAACATAACAGAGGCCTTTCTTCTGGTGTAATTCAAGGGACAGAGTGTTTCAGAAATTTGCAAACGTGTCTGCCTTAAAGGAAGAGTTGAAAATAAACACAATTAAATCAAACAATGTCTTTGATTAGTAGACAGAAGACAGAAATTATGCTTGCACAATTTTATGTGTTTAAAACCTATTTACTACACGGAAAAGACAATTTGGCAACAGTCATGGAAAGGTCCTGCCATACCACAGAAATGGCTCTACCATACCAATAGGAAGTCTGTCCAACATAAAACAAGAAGCTCTGCCATAAAGTCCAGAAAACTCTGACACACAGATGAGATGGTTCCACTGCTCTTTGTACAATCTATTTCTTAAAGCTAAGGACCTGGTATTTCTGTTGTAATTACTGAGATGGTTCTTTTAACTTTGCAGAAGAGCACAGGCTGTCAAGGTAGTGCAGCATTTTCATCCTCTTCGACGTATGTGTAAGGGAAGTATCCAATCTGTTTCAAAGAACAAAGGATAAAAATTAACTTTCCAATCTCCAACTGCTTTCAAAGAGCTACTAACCCTTCCAATACCATATTGTTGATTAACCTGGCTCTCAACACTAACACATTCTTTGTTCTGTCTTGCAGAAATCACTACAGCATGAAAAATACCCAACAAGTAGAAAGCTCCAAAATTTCAGCTTAAATGTTCACTATCAAGGAATGATTTGCATGGAAAACATGAGTGAAGTCTGTATCTTAAACTAACTCCCACATGTGATATGAAAAACAAGGCCATGCATGCAAAAAAAAGTTATTTCTCCTTTTGACCTTGTCCAATTTATCAATCTGCAAGCCATTGATCTGCACATGGATACGTAATAGAGAATGGACGAGGAACTATAGATTCGTGCCGAGTCCATTTTTAGCACGAATCTACAATCCTGAGTCTATTCTTTGACTTAAACTTTTTCTTCAAAATAACAAAGGTTTATTCAAATGAGTCCCATGCATCTCCCCACTCTCCATGTTTTGGGCTTTTCCACTGAACAGCGGAAAAGCCTTTGTTTTTGTTCTGATTTTTTTCCCCCCTTCTTTTTTATCTTTTTGGGTTCACACCAAATCGCATTGACTTTATACACGTTTTTGGTGTGACACACTTTTGACCTAAAACAAAGTCCTATTCCAATGAAACTTATCTCAGGTAAACCCTATACTATATTGAAATTGTGTCTCAAAGAGTGACGTCATGATTACGTCATCATGGGTCACGAGACGTCATCAAAAAGTGCATATTTTGAAGGCCTACATGTATATCTACAGAACTATAAGTCTGATTGGGTTGAAACTCGGTATGTTGGTAGACCGGGATGTGTTATAGGTAAAAATTGAGGTGACGTCACGATGACGTCATCCTGCGATTTAATATATTAATATATATCTCATGAACGCAAAATGCAAAACTGAAAATTCTTTTTTCATTATGTTTGTTAGGTACATGTAATACATGTATGCCCAAAATTTAGGAAAAAGTGTGATGTGACGTCATCAAAAATGCCATTTTTGAAAACACATGAAGGGGAAGGCCCAATCGTCATGAAACTTTGTAGATAGGTAGATGGTGTCACAAGTATGCAAAATCTGAAATGACGTTACCATGACGTCATCAGTAGATTTTTTTATGATTTTTTTAAATATTAAAAATTTTATTACACTTTTTAAAATATTGTATCATCTAGGTTCTCGTACTTTTTAGATGAATCTCTTTTTATTTATATGTTTTATATGTCTTTTATTTATATATTTTATATGTATCAATAATGTTACACTATTGTAAGCCAGTCTCTTCAGACACATTATAGTGGCTGCCGACTTGGTGTTTTTTAAAAAATAAACCAGAATAATAATAAAAATAACTGGTGATTACAAAATCTTACCAAATTACAGTATGGTACTAGTTTGCAACATTATCACCGTTCAATTTGTTTCCCATTTTACTTCATATGGGCTGAGCATGTAATTGACCAAAAAGTGTCAAATCAGGTGAAGAGTGTTGGCAAAAAAAGTGTTTTACCAGTTTCAGTAAAATGATCTGTACTGACCATTAGGTGACCATTGGCCGAATTATTATGTGAGCAACCAATATGAGGCTTGGTCCAATGATGTACATGTAACTGACAAAGTATGACATTAATTGGGTCAAGACTGTGGGAGAAACCATTTTGTATTTCTAAAGAAAACGACCACTAGTGACCACTAGGTGACCTTTGACCCCACATGCTGGTCACTTAAGATAGGACTCGGGTCAAGGAAGATCCTGTCCAAATTTGGCTTAGATTGGCCACGAAATTTGGCAGAGCAAAAAGACCACTGAGTGACCACTACCTGAAATCTAATAAACTGCTGTACAGGATATGGGGTAAGCATGTAATTGACAAACAATTGTTCAAATCAGGTGAAGATGTTGGTAAAAGGCGTTTTACCTGTTTCTGTGAAATGACCTCTACGGACCATTTGGCCAAAAAAAAAAGTCTCCGGTTTCTGGTATGCGCGTGTGTGGCCAATATCAGAGATGAAACTGGCATATGGCAAAAAAATTGGAAAATAGGCCGAACAAATACGTGTCCGAAATCTGGGCTGCGCTGCAGTTACACACATGTACATGCATGTACAATACACTAAATGCCCAATTTCCGGACACCAACTCCTGCTTTATTTTCAATTCAAACAAAATTTTACGATGAAAAAAAAAATGGTCAGTGTTTTCATTGCATAAAATGCCTGAATTCCGGTTAGAGTAATGGAGTCATCAATAAAGAAGTTCACCTCTTACTTGAGAAAGTCGAGGGAAAAGTCCGAAAGACAAGGGCACCATTCATAGTGCTTCAATCATGTCCACGATTCAACCACACAACTCCACTACTCCACTTGCATTCATACATGGGATAAAAAAATCAGGCATTATCGTCTTTCTCTTCCAACAAATGCCAGTGAAATGTTTCGATAATGCTCTCTTCGCTATCCTCGAGATAATCATCATGATTTTTAAAGCATTGCATTTTGTGCAACTAAATCTGAAACCTCCAAAAATCGCACAACATAATGATTTTATCCACTGGCACTGGATCGTTCACAAGGCTACCCGTTCCCCAACAGCCATGTGCTAGCGGACGGTACGGTGCGGTACGTATGCTGGTACCATTGCATATTCGCACGCACGTGCGACACAGTGATTTTTCCATGTCGCCTGTCAATGTTTAACCTTTTGTCCAGCCAGAGAAGGCTCCGATCAGTGTTATGGCCTGTGTTTCTACCGTTGAAACACTCCAATAAAGACTGGTGAAAGAGATTAAAACTACGTTCGCGATGATTTTAACGTGCCATTTCCATTGACTTTTCTTCGAAATTATGGTTGAAATAAAATGACATTTTGTAAAAAAATTGTAAGAAAATCGGAAAAGTTTCATCTCTGCGCCATAGCCATGCACGTCGGCAAAATTAAAACTTGTATCTGGAACCTGTAAACGCTTCCATCTTATAAACGCTTTTTAATTAGTGCAATATTTAAGGGAGCAGACCAATGTCCAGCCTGGCAGCTCATGCACAAACAGCACAATGTCGATGTCACTGTCTCTGTAGTGAATGGTCCGACGTTACCGTTTTCTCTGATTTTTGTCTTGACTATCCAAATTTCCCGAAGAATGTTCTTGTCGGTCATTCGGTGGCCATTGACCAAATTCGGTGAACAACCCATATGAGGCATGGTCCTAAGATGTTACTAACCAAGTTTGACATTAATTGGGTCAAGACTGTGGGAGAAGAAGCATTTTGTGTTTTTCAAGAAAATGACCACCAGTGACCACTAAGTGACCTTTGACCCTGCATGCTGGTCAATTGTGAAAGGATTCCGATCAAGGAAGATCCTGTCAAAATTTGGCTGAAATCGCCCAAGGAATTTGGCAGATATTGGCAGATATAGAATTTCTTGTGAGCATTTGCCCAAAGAAAGAAAGAAAGAAAGAAAGAAACAGGACGATCACAGTACATGTATATCAGCGTGCTCCACCAGGCTGATTTAAAAATCCGTAATCCATGGTATCTGTGGTTCATTACGAATCTATAGTTTGCTGTAGATTCGTGAACATAATGTACACTTTTAACAATAGTGTGATGTCACAAACATAGTTTAATTCTGAAATAGTTTGTCTGAATGATAAAAAAAATGGAGAGCAAAATAAACTAACATGTCAGCTTCTTGAAAAGCACTCATAGTATTTGTTGGAGTGCTCTTTGTGTGGTTTCCTTCTCGACTTATTTGCCAATTAATTTCCTTAATTCAGCTGGGGTTTGGATTATTGTCACCGGTACATTGCCAATGACAGTGAGAGGGTTAATATCAGGAAACATGAATATTAACACTAACACATATTCTTCTCAGAACCACCTCTCTTTTAAACATAGTGGAATCCTGTGGTTTACCTGCAAACTTCTAATAACTTGTAACCAGGTCGGGTTTCAGTACTTACTTTTACCCGACAGGTTCCTTACTCCAGCATTCATTTCATAACTTTTGTAACTTCGTGGTTGTGTCATTTCACACGCATGACATGTGAGCAGCCATTGCGATCATGCTTTTTGCCTAGCGCCCTCTCGCGGCCAACTAAACTTTTGTTTGCACAGCGTGCGCCGCCTAGAATTTTGCTCAACTATGCAAAGGGCGTAGCGAGCAGGCAAGTTTAACATTCCACGCGCTTTGTTCAAATTAGATAGCTGACATTCCGGGCGTTTCGGTTAGTTTTCTTGTAAGGCTAGCTGCGAAATTTTTGTGAATCTCCATTTTTCCTTTTGAAACAAAAACAAATTGGTAACTTCTGAGCAACACGAGTATGCAACCTTTAACTTAAATTTTAGTGTTTCTATAATATTTATGTTCACATTTATCATTTGAAATAGACTTTCCCATTTTCCCAAAACTATCGGTTTTCTTTAAAGTGCTATGAACATTCGGGAATTTGTTATTAGGGCATGGTATATATTCTTACTTCATTATTTTATAACATAACTTGGTGAATAATTCATTTCTATTTTCGGATTTAAAATTGCACTACATGTATATAAAATATTCATATTCTTGCATAATTGCCATTTAAATAATTCTTCTGTTTGGGCAACAGTCATTTTATGCCACAGTTGGTTCCTTTACTGATGCATTTATAAAAAGTGTTTTGATTTACAAATAAGGAAAACAGTTTTTCCCACATTACTTTGAATTAAATATCGTTAATAATGTATTTTGATCTGGAAGTTATTCCCATAATTCATTAGTCATTTATTGTTTTTATGCATTTCAGATACTATCCTTGGAGTGACAGTTCACTAGCCTATTTTCCCTTTTTGACTGTCCTTTTATATACCCAACAAAGTTCCATTCTACATACCCAAAGTTCCTACTATAATTCTTTTTGTAAATACCTGATCATTTGCATATATATTGTCTCATATTTGTCTTGTAAATAAAATATTTTGATATTATTGTCGAACAACAGAAAATTTCGCTCCGCCAAGTTATTTGTATAAGTGGAACCACTCGGTTGTAGGAGAGTGAACCATAGTAAACCAATTTATTTAGCTCTCCCCGGTTACAAACTGAACAGATTTTTTTCCGTAGGGGAGGGGGGGGGGGGGGGGGTAGTGGCACTTTCTTGGGTTTTAAGCAATACTTGACAACAGAGATGGGACTGACCCTTCCTCCGACTGCACCCTTCCACCAGCCCCTGTTCTGGCCAGCCTTGCTGATGATATCCACTCTGTCTCCCTTCTGTAGGGGCAACTCGCCAGACTCACGAGCTGTGAAAGGGAACAGGGCCCTAGCTGTGCCAATGACGGTGTAGCGCTTAGGCTTAGGATTCTCTCGGCCAGACGGACCTGTGCAAATAAACGAATAAGTGATTAAACAATTTAAATACCACTGCCGCTGGAACAAACTTTTGCCATGGGGTGCTGGAATTTCTAATTAATACGAAAGCGAAGCGAACCCTTACGTCGTGGCTTAATTTGGAATATGGATGCTCTGTGGTGCAATCTGAGGTGATTCCTAGCCACTTTCATTTGACTTTTTTAGCAAAAGTTTTTTTGAGATTATAAAGACAATTTATTTCATTATTTTGTTAAGAATATACTGTTGCTCTTAAAATGTTTAACTGTACTGTAAAGTGGAGAACCCTGTATTTTTATCTCCATTTTTGGTTCCATCTAATTCTGGAAAAAGAATTGTATCATTATGCATGACATCGCATGTAAATATTATTGTTGCAAGGCTGCTTTCTTACATTTAGTAAATTTCTTCGTGTATGTTTTGTTTTATTTTCCTAGCCCTTACGGCGTGGGGCCACAGGGCCAGGGGCCCGCTTTAAGGCCCCGGAAAATGTTGGATTCTGGATGCACTGTGATGAAATATACTGAAGTAATACTGTTTTGGGGTTTAAGTTAAAACAAATGGTTCCACTGGAAGCGGATGAATTTCTGTACATAAAAATATTCACATAGTTCTAACTCACCAAACGATGTAACTCTCGATATATTTGTAGTGTTATTTGTTTGTTACAGGAAATGGCAAATATAAATGACTTTAAAAAAAACCAAATGCATCTTTATGTTTAAGATCGGTAGATGGCAAGTTTGGGGCTAGGCAAGGATTTATTGGTCTGCTGAGTTTTATGAGGAAAAACTTGCAGAGGGTAAAACATGAATAGTATTTTTATTAAAACGAAACTACACTGGAATTGGCGTAAAGCATGACTAGTTTCAATGAAAGCCTATTTGTTGGTGTTGAGTACAGAATGCTAGCAACGTCAATGAACTTTTAAATGAAAAGAAAACCTTCAGGGGAAAGGTATGAACATTTGCCCCTATTGAAAGATCGAATGAAAAAATTCCTGGCAAGCATAATCAACTTTGCCACCATTGTCATGGCCAAGGTTATTACTTTTGGGTCAAAGCTTCCATCATGGCGGAAATATCATAGACATGTCATGATTTTAGATATCTTGAGAGAAATATTGATTCTGCACTGCCTGAAGATTTAGAAAATACCTCCTCTTGATGTTTTACAGTGTTTGTGCTAGACTTTCGAAGCACCGTGCTTAGCCGCGACAAAACTAAAAACGAACAAAACGAAGGAGATATTTGTAGAGCAAGCATAATGTGTAGCGTAGCGGCGCAATTTCATCGTTGTAGAACACTGCTGGCTGGAACACATTTTTGCCCGGGAGTAGGGGGTGCTGAAGCACCCCAATAAAAAAAGTTGAGGGCGCTGCAGCACCTACAGCACCCCGCGTTCCCGCGGGCTTGTTAAATACTGCATTGTTTATTGGCATCTTTCTTCCCAATAGAGCCTGAAAGTTCACCCATGGTGGCGCGCTTCTGGAACCCTTAAAATAGAAAAATTAACGTGCAGAAATTCTAAAATTTGCAATTATTTTTGGTACATTAATTTCTTTAAAAAATCACCCTCGAAAAAGGTTTTCATAAAATTTTTACTAGCATCTCAATTTATGGAAACTGAAAAATCGCTTGACGTTAAAGAGAAATATCATGCCAATAATTGACCTCTCACTTCCGAAAATCTAAGATATACGTGGACTAGTAAAACTCAATGTACTCGCCCAAAGATGAAAATTTATGAAATAATTTTGTTGTGGTCATTGGGTGAAAGTTTAATAGAAGACTATGATGACTAGGATTAACAATTGTTTCAATAACCTTGAAGGACTCATTAACATTTACAAAAAAAATCTAAAATGAACGCTGATAAGGACTGCATTCAAGCCAGCTCGACTAAATCTAGAACCCAGCTGCTGTAGGTAGGTAAATCTCCGCGTTGTTATACATTTTTGTTCTCAATAAGGTACACAGTGTAAAAACAAACATGAACAAACAAGGAGATCTAGGAACGAAAATGCCAGAGGTGAAAGGTCATAAAATTCATTTTTACCCAAGAGAAAGGGCAACCCAGTGTAAAATGCGCATAGGCGGGGTGCACAAGGCTTCTAGAAGCTTGCCGCATGACCTTTACTTTTAGGCCCTACATGTATATCGCATTGTTTGTTCAGTGAAGCATGAATCACTACAGCATGAAATAGTACCCACAATTTTAATCAAAATGTACACTACAGTTATAAAAAAGTGTTTGTGTGAAGTTTGTTCCTTGCACTTTACCCTTTCAAGTGATGTCAAAATCAAAGGCATACATGCATGCTCACAAATAGCAAACCTATGGCTCTTTTTTTGATCTGGTCTCATTTATCAAACTGCAAGCCATAATTGATCCATAGTGGTGAGAACAAAACACCAGTTGTACAATAGGTTTTGCTGGGCCCAGTCGATAGCCGCAGTATAACAACTTGGTCCAAAATTCCCCAATTCAATTAGAAAAGATGCTTTATACCGGTAGTTTAGTGATTTTGGCACAGCAGAAATGCCCACAATTACTTTATCAAAAAAATGCCCACAAAACTTTATCAAAATGTATAATTTCACAGAGGACATCACAAGGTGATCCATAGACCAAATCAAACGACTGAAGATTGGTGGAAAAAATGGAAACGGTTCACTGATGACACCACTCTGCTTGCCACCAGCAAGGAGGACCTGATGTCTATGTTGGCCACGGTAAAGGAATCAAGGGCGTCGAGGGGTCTTCTGCTGAACACCCAAAAGACCAAAGTCACGGTGATTGACGAAGCTCGGCGGACTTCGTGGACTTCTGGATCAATGGCGACAAGATCGAGGAGGTGCAAGAGTTTGTGTATCTGGGTTTGTTGATCATTAGCTGTGACAGGTCCATGCGAGAGACCAGGCAGCGTCTAGCAATGGCTGGGATGCTACAATAAAAATGGTGTACATCTGTAGAAACCAGATTGTTAGCACTACCTAAAGGTCCAGCTACCATGAGCAACAAACTTAGCACTGCAGCCTACGCATTTGAATCATGGGCCATGAACAAGGACTATTGTCACCAAGTCGATTCCACCAAAATGTGGGCGTGGTGAAGGGTGCCAAGAGTGTCACGGATGAAGAGGAAAATCAACAAATGTTTACTGGATAAGATTGGAACTGACAAGATACTGAGCAAGCAACTGGCACTCAGAAAAAGGTGTTACGGTATTCACCGAAGTGGCCTGGCAGTAGAACTGATCCAGCGCAAAGTAGAGGGCAAACAGCGTAGAGGACAACCAATGGTAGAGTGGGCCAATGACATCAAAAGGTGGACAAGACTGAGTTTGACATCAGCTTCACGGCTGGCTTTGGACCATGCACGCTGGAGAGACTGCATGAAGACTACAGCAGCACAATCCACCAGACCGAGAGAGAGATAATTTCACTGATACCTCATTTTATTGTGTAATCAAAAGTTCCCCACATACCTTGTCTAAAGCATAAAAACATATGTATCATAATTTTGTAGATGTTTGCATATTTTAACCTTACCACCATATTTCACCAACAAAAAAATACTGAAGTCAAAATTATTTTTGTAACTGGTTTGTTAAGTCTTCCGATATATTCACAAAAGTGTAAACAAATGTGTGACCTCATTATGAAATGATCAAAAATGGGAATTAAAAAAAAACTATACAGTATGTCCTACAAAAGTGTCCGTCTGGCTGTTTTAAAAATAATTACAATACTATGAGGTCAATTTTGAAAATGTTTGGTTGTGCAGATCATCATCATCATCATCATGGTGACGTCTGTGCGCGAGCAGCGCACAGGCGTTGCTTAGTGGCTGCATAATAACATATTAATTGTTCGTTTCTGCTGTTGAGCTTGGTGTAGTTGAGTCAGGTCCGTACCAACCATCCTCAGGTCGTCCAGAAGTTGCTGTTGATAGGTTCGCATAAGTGCGCCACCTCTTCGGTATGGTTCTGTAGGTTGGTTGTTTTTGTCCAAGAGCAATGAGAGGGGTGTGTCACGCCTGGTTGCGTGGGCAATCAGTTGTAGGCGGTGTTTGCGAAGGGTTGTTGATGCCTGTGGGATTTTGGTTTGGCGATAAAGTTCAACATTGGTGATGCGTTTGGGGTATCTGATGTTGAGTGCGTAGCGTAGCAAAGCTCGATGTGATGCGTCGATGGTTTTTGCGAGCGTTTCTGTTAGCGTCCAGCTGGCCCCACTGTAGAACAGCACCGACTCAATGCAGGCAGTAAATAGTTTGACCTTCAGGTGATTGCTTGCTGTACAGGTCCATACTATATCGAGTTTTCGGCACGCCACCCATGCGAGATGTCGTCGGCGTTGGAAAGCTGATTGACTGTTGCTAACGTTGCATCCCAAGTAGCAGAACTCTGTGCACGGGGGCAGCGGATCACCTGATAGTGTATGGATTGGTGAAATTTGGTCAATGCCAATGTACATGACCACAGTTTTCTGCGGGTTTATACGCAGACCAACTTGTGCTGAAGCACGTTCAAAACGGTGAAATTGGCGCTGTGCAGCATCGACTGTATCACTCATCAGTACAACGTCATCGGCGTAGGCAAGACCAGGTAACTTAACTGCCAGGTTACGTGAAGACAGCCGTCGGCGAACCGTGTACCCATCAGCATCTTCACATAATGAAATGCGGAGAACATAGTCTAGCAGGATGATGAACAGGTATGGCGCCAAAGTGTCACCTTGCAACACACCAGATGTTGTTCTGAACCGATCTGTGTCACCTGATGATGTTCGCACGTATGCTTCAGTGTTAGTGTACAGAGACATGATGGCATCGATTATTTGCGTAGGTACTCCATAGAATTCGAGGATCTCAGGTAGGCATGCTCTGTCTACATAGTCAAATGCTTTGCTATAGTCGGCGAAAATAGCAACAAGGCTCTTCTTGCGTGCTCTGCATGTATCAATACAGAGTTTGATGCACAAGATTT